GATGTGCAAATTGTAAAAAAAGGAGATTCAGCACTCTTTATTGATCAAACGGCCTCTTTACAAATGATCTATGTCAGTAAATGCTTTTCTGTCACCTTTCGGTTATGTTCTATGAGTTTTCTGAAGCGAGGTTGTTAGATTTGTCCACGAAGAGCGCTCTAACTCAAAGTATCAAATCAATAAAAGCATGAACGAGCCCAGTATTTGGCTGACAGTATTTCAATATGGTGTGTCCTTCTGAAATTACAGAGGCTTTCAAGGGGAAAAGACTTATCAAACATCTGCCAATAATTTGATGCACAACATGGAGGTGACGTCTGTTCTCACCCGCAGATGAGATGCATCGACATTGACCCCTGACATCTGTTTTGAAACTAATCATAGCTTTTCATCACAATAACTCATGATAAGTTGCTGTTGAGCATAATTTAGCAAATGTTCAGTAAGGTTGTAGTTATTTGTTATGAAGGGGCGGGGCAGCTCCAGCTCTGGGACACAACACACAAACTTTACAGCTATTTATGGAGACACCAGACTCATTTGTCTCTATCGTTTTTTCAGCGTTTCACACAGAGTTAAGTGCCACATGTGAAAAACGAGCTCTAAGTTAATAAAACTGCTTAACTGGCAAAAAGACAAAAGTATTTGCTTATTCTGTAGTACAAGTGGCCTATTTTCAGATGGGGATGACTCATGCACAGCCCATGCGGTAACCTTAATCACTGGTTTAGCCTATTTAGTCAAAACAACAGCAACAGCATTCTTATGTATAAAAGAAATGCAGGAAAAGACAGATTTTTGTTTTCTAAACCTTGGTTGGCCTTCCATATTGATGAGGTTTTTACTAATGCATTAGTGAAGTATCTTTCGGCTACATCTCCTTCCTGAAAAACCCTTAAATGTGGAACAACCTGCAGGAAAGAGGCTGGTGCAAAGTGCATTATGAATCCTGAGTGAACTCCTCTCTGCCTCTCAGGCGGCATCGCTGTAATCTGAGCCATGTGAGGCAAGAAAGCTATTCCTTCACTCAGTTTGTGTAAAGTAGTTAAGAATCACTCAATGTAAACAGGAAGTCACACAGCTTCAAAACAACTTTTGAAAATAGCAGCTTGAACCTTACTGTATATAGGGAGGCTGTGGCTCAGTGGGTTAGTGCGCTGATCTTTGAATCAGAGGATAGCAAGTTTGAGTCCCACTGCAGTCAGCATGTCATTGTGTCCCTGGGCAAGACACTTCACCCCAAATTGCTCCTGTGGGGATTGCCCACAGTATTGAATGTATGTAAGTAGCTTTGGGTAAAAGCGTCTAACAATTGACATGTAATGTAATATATATTTAGCTGTATTCATGTTTTAAAGGAAGTCTGTCTTCAGTGTTACTTAGTTTGAGTTAGTAGTGTTTATGCAGGTGGGAGATAGGCTATACATTACATTACATGTCACTTGTTAGACGCTTTTATCCAAAGCGACTTACATACTCAATACTGTGGGCAATCCCCACAGGAGCAATTTGGGGTGAAGTGTCTTGCCCAGGGACACAACGACATGCTGACTGCAATGGGGTTTGAACCTGTGACCCCCTGATCCGAACACCAACGCTCAACCCACTGCACCACACGCCTCCTATACAATTAAGCTAACCTAACTAACCGGCATGATTTGGTCATTAAATCTAACGTTGTTATATATTTTTTGTAATATGAGGTAAACTAAATACATAAATAAATATAAATCAGAAATGTATTTTCAATTCTTACAACAGGATTTTTAATCAAGTGTCACCCTGTCCTTTTATTCACAGGTCATATAGCAAGCTAACGTTAACTTTGCCAGTTAGCTAGTTCAGTTAGCTATGCAACAGTTACACTGAAACTTAATGTTGACATAACTTACACAAGGATGTTGGTGACGTGTGAAGAAGTTATTCAGTCGATTATGGGGGTATGTTACTCTCTATACATACTAAGGTGCTCTAATGGCAACAATCTGGCAAAAAGACCATAACTGATACTCTGATACTCTGACATTGACCAGAGAGTTAGTCAATTTACAACTGGAAAAGAGGCTTCCTTCCTCTGACGGCAGTTTTCATTTCCCCCCCCCCCCAAGCTCTTTTCTGTGATCCATTGACTCAACGTGAATCACTGGAGGACAAAATGTTATGTACCACAACTAAAGCGCAGATGGCTGTGAGCTTTGCTTGAGCAATCGCTCATTTCTCACACAGGTTAGCATGCCAGCAAAGTCAGAGGAAACTGTCACAGTACAACAGTCAGTTTGGCAAACGCTGCTGCCTGAAGTCGAACTGCTCCATGTGGTGGATATTACAAAGTCTCTGTTACTGGGATCAGAATAACAAACAGATGACATTATTTTCTGGAACATTTTGTAATTTCTATTTCAGGTGTTGCTTTGTTTATCTTAAAGACTGGTGCTTATTTCTCCGTGATGCTTGCAGTTGTTGTGAATATTTATAGGTGCTGCATGTCTAAACAGACATAAAAGGCATTAAATTACTTTGCACATGTGTGACAGGCAAGGCTGCAGGCTTCAAAGATATCAGTTTCACAGAGGCACATTTAGCTGTTGCCAATCAAATGGTGTGAATAATGTATCGTGTTATCTGTAGAAATGACATGTAAGAACAACCTGCACATTTCAACAATAACACAAGGCTTAAGTTAACTCATTAAAAAATGTATGCTAAACTAAAATGATGAATAAAGTAAACATTGTACATGTTAACATTATCACTGTCATTTATAGCATTTTGATATGATAGCATGATAATATGGTATGATTTGAGTGTGACTGTTATACTAGCCAAATGTCATAGAGGAATTACTAAAACTGATACACAACACATTTTGTTGTCAGTCACGTGTGAAATTGTTTATTTTTTCAATAATCCTGCAAGGACACTGACAAATAATTTGCAGAGAAATCCATCTTGGAGGTGGCAGAGATATGGATTTCTTTATAAAAGATACCCTCAGTAAACGTATCAGTAATCATAGAAACATTGTTACTTGGCTCACTGACTAGACCACATGCCTGTAAAGTTAATTGCATCAAATGACTTTATGACCCTCCTGCCGATATTCCCAGAAATAGAAAATCGACATGAAATGCTCAAGGTACAAATGACACAAGATCAAAACATTTCTCGAATGCAGAGAAACGGATGCTCTCTAACAATCAAAGTGCGTCTGAAGGGGATGTTTTTCTTCCAGGGTTCAAGAAACAACTGGAAGATTACTTCAGGCTTTTGTACAATCTGAGAAACCATGAAGAGAGGAAGTGAAGCTGTGTTTCTCTCCTCTCAGCTCTTTGATGTTTTCTAGAACAAGGCATTTATCTTTGCTCGGGCAAATCAGTAATCAGCGAGGGAGTGGGCTTTTGTTTTTGCCGCTCTCAGGTTTGAAGCAGAGTGTGGAGTATATCTGTATCTAGCCCCTATAGATCATGTCTATAAATTACATGTCACTTGTGAGACACTTTTTTTCATCCATTATCTAAATAACTTGTTGTTTCTCAGTTTGCATGAAGACTGATAAGAATCCGCTTGAAGAAGATTTACAAGTAGCCTTGGCTGCTTACACTGACAAGCTGCCAGTTCTGCGAAAAAGAGAAATAAATGCACAGAAAATTGAGCCTGACATAAAGCCTAAAAGATTTATGTCATTTGGTGACCGTTAATGTCTTCTCATTTTGTGAGGTAGAACATTTAGTTAATTTCAGACAGAGCTGGCATGGCTGAGAGATGTTAATAATTGCACCTGTGATGATGACCGAGCCTCATTTCAGTCCCAAATTGGCAAAAGGTTTTCATGTTCTGCCGGCCGAGGAAATCTGTGGCCACGAAATGTCACATTAATGCATCTGTTCTCATTTTATCATTATGGCAATGCAGCCACTCGACTCCTGCCTCTTTGGCCTGCACCAGTGTTTCTGCTATTGTGGAAGACATTGCTAGTTCATCACTGAAATCTATTCATGGATGTGGCCAAATGAATAAATGTAAATGAGATCATTCATAATCAGTGAATTGAGTCTGCTTTTTATTCAGGCCAAGCAAAGGAAGGATTAACTCTGCTATTGTAATTCGAAGCAGGAACTGACTCGTTCATTTTGTGCTGCGTAATCTGATTGAATCTGTGGATAACTAATTGTTTTATACTAAGGGGAAGGACAACAGACATAAATATGCAACAAAAGTGTGAATAAATTGTCTTGGGTTGAATTATAACTGCTCAGCTTCTATGAGGATTTTAAATTGCCTAAAATGTACTTCTCTTTTGAATTTGTATCCAAAAAGTGGCTCAGTGGCTAGTGTGCTGAAACAGGGGACAGCAAGTTCGAGTCCCATCATGTCGTTGTGTACCTGGGCAAGACACTTCACCTCAAATTGCTCCTGTGGGGATTGTCCACAGTACTGAATGTATGTAAGTCGCTTTGGATAAAAGCGTCTAACAAATGACATGTAATGTAATTCAGCAGCCAATATCAAATGGTAAAGTCTGTTTTTTATTCTATGAGATTCTGAAATGTGGTTAATTATGCACACAATAAACAGACATGCACTGAATAGCAATGAGGTCTGCAACCTCCATCTGCCTTTGAATGTGTGAAAAGGGAATTGAAAGCCAAAAAGTTATATTCATGTGCATATTTTATAAGTGAAATGCAGCATGTTGTTCCTTCAAAGTGAAAAACTGTGTTCACAATTACCTCATGAAACAAGATAAAACAGTTATTCAAATCTATTCTTAATCTAGGTTTTCGTGTGTGCTTTGTATTGTTTTTTTCCATCCCATCTTCTGCCGGGAGGAGCTTTGGGAATTAATAATCAGATCCTTTTTTTAAATCCTCCTCCTCCACTGCCACTGTCGTCTCCCTTGTTTCTATGCACCACACTTGACAGCTTCATGGGTTGGGCAGATAAAGCTATATGGAAACACGTGACAGGGCTTGTAGGAGCGACGCTTCATAAGTGTGAAGACTCAGAGAAACAGACGGAGAGACGCGGAGAGGAGCAGCAGCAGCAGCAGCAGCAACCTGTGTCCACAACCAGGAGCGCACTCCAAGAGCGACACTTCTTCAGACAGCCGACAAACTAATGTTTCAGAAAGAAACTAGTAATAATGAGGATGATGGTGGGTTTATTCTAACACATGCACGGTGTTTTTATCACCTTTTATGTAAGATCTTTGTTGGATGGATGGTGCGCTTCTGACTTGGATTAACGCGCGGTGATAAAGGGCGATTCTGCGCACTTGGACAAATTATGTAAGGTAAAGAAACACTTTTTCTCTTTTAAATATTTCATTATACTGGTTTCTTCGTTATTTTCCTACTTTAAATGCTTTATGTTGGTGGTCCCAGAATGAAAATATGTTTTTTCGTTTTTGTATCCAAATGCAATTTAGCTTTTTTGCACCAAATGTACGATATCTACATTCGTGCATGGATCATGAAACTTTCAAAAAAACCTAATATTGAAATAGCTTTCCAAATTCTGCATACATTTAGATAATGTAATTGCAATTATCCCATTGTATCTCTTTACTCTTGCATTAAGTGGACTGCCCATGTATGCTTAATATTGTTTGACATCTATTTGTTCAGCTTTAAAAAAAAAATGTGATCCAGTTAGTCCAAGTAAAGAGGAATTGCATTATTGTGTCTGATTCTCCACCTCATCAAAAATATGCGTTTTTACTCTCACTTTTTGTTTTTCTATGTGTACTCCTGATATTGAAAGGGCAGCAGTCAGTGGTGAATCTTTTTATGTATGTTGATGCGTACAGAGTGCAGGATACAGTATTTATGAGTACACCAGCTCTTAGAGACCAGATGTGGTTCTTGACCTGTTCAGGAATTATTTAAATGTATTAAAAAACCTACAATTGTACAAAACTATGAAATATTCCAAATTATTTCAATATTTGTGTTCAGAAATATTCTCAGATTTTGAAGGTTATCTCATCCTAAAGTTATTTCATTTTAAGTTGCACTGCTGCGCATTTGCATGTGTGCATGTGCATATAGGATTCTTTTTTAGATGTTCTAAACATCTCTTAAATGTTTTTCATCAATTTCATAGGTTGCCCAGGCGTCTTAGCCTGCAGTATTACCCTCAGACACAGCCATGAAGTCTGTGCTGGATGGTGTGGCGGACACCACCTTCCGGACTATTACATCTGGTTTACAGTATCTGGGCTCCAACGACGCTAACTATGACAACCCCCTCAATGATGTAGACTTCAAGGCAGGTTTCGCTCTGCAGAAGCCTTTATCTGCTTTCCGCAGCGACTCCTTCCCAGGCAAAGTACCTGCGGACGAGGAGCTCATCCTCAAGGGCATCCCCTTCTTCCCCACCAATGCCACGGACTTGTTTGGCAACCGGAGCATGTTGGGAGATGAGACTAACACTTTACAATGTGGGGATAACTTTATGGACATGGAGTGTTTCATGATCCTGACCCCCAGCCAGCAGCTGGCTGTGGCAGTGATGTCTCTGACTCTGGGTACGGTCACAGTGCTGGAGAACCTGGTGGTGCTCTGCGTCATCTTTCAGTCCCGCACCCTCCGCTGCCGGCCGTCCTACCACTTCATTGGCAGTCTGGCTGTGGCTGACCTTCTGGGAAGTGTTATATTTGTCTACAGCTTTCTGGACTTCCATGTCTTCCACAGGAAGGACAGCCCCAATGTTTTTCTCTTCAAACTGGGTGGAGTCACAGCGTCTTTCACTGCGTCTGTGGGGAGTCTTTTCCTCACTGCTATTGATCGCTACATCTCCATACACCGGCCTCTGGCCTACAGGCGCATCGTGACACGGACCAAGGCTGTCATTGCCTTCTGTGTGATGTGGACCATCTCTATCGTCATCGCAGTGCTACCTCTGCTGGGCTGGAACTGTAAAAGTCTCAACTCAACTTGCTCAGACATATTTCCTCTGATTGATGAGAACTACCTGTTGTTCTGGATCGGTGTTACCAGTGTGCTGGTTCTTTTCATCATCTACGCCTACATGTACATCCTGTGGAAGGCGCACCACCACGCCGTGCGCATGCTGAGCCGCACCTCCCAGAAGAGCCTTGTTGTTTACTCAGCAGATGGGACTAAAGTGCAGTCCGCTCGCCCGGAGCAGACGCGCATGGACATTCGCCTCGCCAAGACCCTGGTGCTCATCCTGGTGGTGCTGGTCATCTGCTGGGGCCCACTGCTCGCCATCATGGTGTATGACCTCTTCTGGAAGATGGGCGATGATATTAAGACAGTATTTGCATTCTGCAGCATGCTCTGCCTGCTCAACTCCACTGTCAACCCGGTCATCTATGCCTTGAGGAGCAAGGATATGCGGCACGCCTTCATCACCTCCTGCCAGGCCTGCAGGGGCACGGGCCAGCAGCTGGATAATAGCCTCGAGTCAGACTGCCAGAACAGACATGCCAACATTTCTGCCAACAGGGCTGCAGAGAGCTGTGTGAAGTCCACTGTGAAAATAGCCAAAGTAACAATGTCTGTGTCAACTGAAACTTCTGCAGAGGCTGTCTGATGGCCCTTCACTGGGGAACATGTGTAAATGTCATCCTCCCCAAAACAATGACATCCACCAGAATGAAGCAGAAAGTTGAAAATAAAAAGAAATCCTCTCCTGAAAGTATTGACTTACATCCTCACATTGGCTTTAGTGGTTGCATTATTTTATGTTGGTTTGTAAGTACATAGTGTGCCAAAGTGCCAAAAAGTATTGCAAGTTGATAGGAAAGGACTCACAATTTGAAAGGATTATCAAAGACTATCATGAGTCTGCTATCTACCATAGACCTCATGATATCCAGTTAGTGAAGGCATATTATATTTTTGTACTGTGAATTCAGGTTTTGAAAACAATATTATCTTCATTTATGGGATAAGGGGCTACTGACGTTTTTAATTCGAGATGTTTTATTGTGTCATTTAGACTTTAAAATGTGTCTTGCGCCATAAATATAACAAATCTTTGGCAACTTGACTTTCTAATCTACAGGCTTCATGTACATTAGGCATTTCTATGAAGGAGTGATAGAAAAAAAGTTTCAAATGACTGATTGTTTATTTCAAAAATTGTCATTTAACATGTCACTTTTGTATTTGTTCTGACGACACTCAGTGAGTGGGAAAATGTGTGAAGGAGATTTTGAGATTTGATGGGTGATTCATGCTCAAGATATATAAAAAAAACATCACCATCAACTAAAAAACTCCAATGAGATGGAGGTAAACGGATTCACAGATTTTGAGCGTGTCAAATCTGAAATGACATTTCTGTGGCAGAGTGACGATGGTCCCTGTTGTCCATTTCTTTACCCGCTAGCTAAAGTAACGTGTCTTTGTTCAATTGTAAACCTAACAACTGTACAGTGTTTTTCTTGCAAAGATAAAGTGTTCAAACCGCCTCATTCAGCTGTACAGCCAGCAAAACAACAACAAGCTTGAATACATCAAAACTGACGCAGTGTGCTGGACACAACTGCAACAAACTGAAGTGGTTTCAAACTATATCTGCTTTCATCAAATGTAATATTTTACTGAATTCAGCCATGTATGTGTGTAATACCTTGTGACTTGGTGATATATTTCCAACCCCAAGCCTTTTGATCATTGCAGTGAGTTGTTTTTAGTGCCACTGTTGCAGAGGGACATCATTTTGGAAAAGAAAAGCAACCCATGCACAGGCCTAGTGAAGTACTTCTGGCGTAACTCTAAATAAAAATATGTCTGCTGTTAATTTTACGTATCTAAACAAAGAAACAGGGGTTGTTTCATTAGCTGGTAACTTGGATGGAAACTGTATGTATGCATTGTGTGAAGACTCGGCAACTGACCTTACAAAAGAATCTAAGATGTGACTTTCCTTATAGGTGATGTAGTACTTTTAATCTAGAAATCTCACAGCACAATTGTTCTGTAGACATTTATCTTGGTGTAAAGTTATCCAGACTGTTTATCAGTATTCTTTGCTGCCTCTTGTATTATGAGTATTGAAAATCAAATTGTCAACTGTCAAGTGGCTTCTGTGCAGTGGTGGCATAATGAGGAATCTATGACTTAAAAAACACAATCAGTCAAGTGGTTTTAGTATTGCTGTTTTCAAACTTTTGAATAAAGTTGCAGCTGGTTGTCATTTTGTCTTCAGTTATTTGATGGATTATTTAATGGTGGGAAACCGAAGTTTGCATACATTACATTACATATTACTCACAAAGTTATACCTCCTAATTCCAAAAATGTGAATATTCTTGATAAATTGAAGTAAATATAAAAAACCTTCCTAGTTAAAACACTGCTGCATACTCATTCTCATGGAGGCCCACACAAGTGTGGAACTGATGCGGATATGTTATATTAGATATGTTGATATAAATAGTCTTGTTGTTAAGTAACTTGAAGTAAACCCAGCACCCATTTACTCCAATAATTTTATCAGTTTGTGGACTCTTTTTTTTTACCATGTAGGCATAGGAGAAAAATAATGCTTTAGATTCAAGGTTCAAGGCTTTTATTGGTCATACGAACATAGCTACAGTGTAGTTATGACAATGAAAATCTTAGGTCCCAGGCTCCTCCAACAGTGCAACACAATAAAACAGAAAAACAGAAAGAATAGTGCAAGTAAATACAAAAAGAAAAATAGTAAAATAGTGAAATGCAATAAGAGTCTATACAAGTGATTGGAATATGATATATTAGATAAATAATTTCTAAATTGCAGCCAGATTAATGTTATGGATGTTGTTTCAAAAGTTCAGGTGTTTAATAGTCTTATGGGATGAAACTGTCCCTGAGTCTGCCCGGTGGTTTTATTCAAGAATTCAACACACAGGAACACAGTGTGAATGAATTATATACAAATAATCATTTGGTGAGTGAAATATTCCTTTAATTCTGCCATCCATCACTGATGTATGAGGAACAGATACTGAAAGAGATACCAAGCCCTCAGCGGACAGCAGCCTGAAGCCATTAGTGATGTTTTAGCGCCCTCTTGAGGAAGACTATAAAATGTCCATGGTGGCAGCCTGTTCGAGGAAAAATGGCATTTCTACATTTCATTTTAATTTTGTTTTACTATGGCTTAGGGCTGCTCAATTAATCGTATTTTAATCGCAATTACGATTATGGCTTGCAACGATTACGAAAACAACGTAATCGAAATAAAACGATTATTTTTGTATTATTATTATTACTTTTTTTATTGGTTTTTCAGTTGAATTATACTTAAAGTTCAGGGTAATCAACTGTTGAAAACATACTGTTCAAATTGTTTTTCTCCAATAAATTGATGTTTTCAAAGTAAATGGATAATCGTTTTTAATAATCGTGATATCAATTATTGACCCAAATAATCGAGATTATGATTTTTGCCTTAATCGAGCAGCCCTAGGCGTCTACCACAGACACCAACATCTGCTCTGTTTTTTTCATCTCCTGTCTCAGAGGAACAGGGAAATTGCAACATCTGTTCACACAGATGTTAACAGGATTGTGTTCATTTATCTTCAAAACACTTTTGTAAAAAACGATGAGGTGTGTCTACTGTACTTTACCTCTGCAATGAGAACTTTTCCTGACATTTAAACAGAAAACAATTTGAAGATTATTTATAATGAAAATAATCATTTTTTGGGAGCAAGTTATTTTTATATAGCCAATTGCATATATAGTACCTACCACAAATAATTACACCATGACGTTACAGAACAACTCTTATTGTTCATTTGTACTACCTCAAGTTAGGTCTACTATATCATAGATCTTAAAATTATATATAATTTAAAGAAAAGGTGTTAAAATACAGATGCCTCTCGCATCCTCAATTGTTGGGGTGGTTGAGAAGACAGTGATGAAGGAAGGAACATTTCTTAAAAGTTTACTGTATGTGTGTTTTGTATTTTTCTTCTGAATCCGAAATATGCTTTTTATTTAAGACTGGGTTAATAATATGGAGGAATCAGAGTAGTTACCTACATATTGGATTGATTATTCTATGTAGTGGCCCTAGGTTTTAAATGACCTTTATCTATTGATATGAGATTGGTATAATTGTTTCCTCACTTCCTTGTAAATAAAAGGGAATGCTCATTTAGTATTATGGATTCCTATCTAAAAAGAATGTTTTGTATTTTTTATATAAATCCTTTTTTAATTAATCATTTGCATTCAAAAATAATAATTAATATTGTTCTATTAAACGTTTTAAGTGAAATTGAAACTTCCTCGTAGTGTAGTGGTTCGTAAGAAAACAAACAAATTTGAAAAAAAAGGAACATTTTCATAGTCTTCGGGAAATGTAGTCTTCAAGTATATAAAAACAGTGGGTGCTGTAGGGAACAAAAACTACAATTACCAGCGTGCAACCTTTTTCACGCATGCTCGTAGCCGATCATATGGAACGGAATTAAAGGTAAACTAGTCTGACTGAGCCGTTGAGAGTACTCCTCGGATGTAGTGCAGCAAAATCTGCAATCATCCGATTTTATAGCAAATTAACCTCAAATTATTTTGCCCGGATTATCTCAAGACATATTTTTCAACATAATCTCAATGAGATTTATCAGCAGAAGACAACAATAGCGAAAATAAGGCGTATTTGTCTGCCGCCCGGAATCGCCGCTGCCGTCTGATTTAGCTAACGTTAGCTAGCATTGTCACCACAGACCGGGGCCCACATCAGGGACTTTCGCAGATAACCAGGGATTACAGCTTTCTATTAATACTTTTTTAAGACACCGTTTTGCGTGATGGCTTGCGGGGCTACCCTGAAGAGGAGTATGGACTTTGATCCACTGATGAACCAGGCTTCCCCCAAAAGGAGGAGGTGCACCCCGATCATGTCTCCAGTCTCTTCACCACAGAAGTATTTGCGTATGGAGCCCTCGCCTTTCGGGGAAGTGTCGTCAAGACTCACCACAGGTAGGAATTTCAATCCACATTTTCAGAATTCAGTGTAATCCCAAGTACAATATGGGAAAACTATTCTTAAGTGTAAACTGGACACGGTTAGCTTTCCCTATTAGCCTCCCCCCTGTGTACCGGTGTCTGTCGTTTTGGTAAAGCCAAACCCCACATGTAATTTGTCAAGTTAAAGGAGTGTTGTTCTTGATGATCCCTTTGCGATGGAAGACTCATATAAAGACGATTCCATGTGAATCTGTATCGCTTAATTGTAAATTCGGCAGTAATTATACATGAATACTTTCATTGTACTAATAGTTAACAATGGTTTGAGGAAGTTAAGTGTGGGAAGAGCAGGAAGCAATGGTTTGACTGTTGTGTAAATTATTAAAGTTTTCTTCTGAACATAATTGATGCCTCGAAGTTATTAGAAGATAGACATTTTAGCTATAGTTTGTCTTCGATTATATTAGTTTCATTGTGTGCTCCGTTTTCTAAAGAGCCTCCCACTGATGCATCACTTGCCATATGTTATAGATTTTCCACTTCAGTAATTAAAAAAGGAAACAATGTTTTGTGGTGCTTACTAATTTTATGGATGCAGTATTATATGCTTACAGAAAGTAGCTCTATCTCTTCAATTGTTTGTCTTGATACATCAGAAAGGCAACATGATCTTATCAAATGTTTGATCTCTGCAGCACCTCTGTATGAAGATGTCCCTTGTGTAATGGAGCAAATGTTTTTTCTGTCTGTTTCAGAGCAAATCCTACACAACATCAAACAGGAGTACAAGCGGCTGCAGAAACGACGACACCTGGACAGCACCTTCCAGCAGGAAAGCAGCTGCTGTTCTCTGGATCTGCAGAACCAGAGTGGATCAGCCCTGCCAGGTAGCTACCATCCTTATTAGTGAGGATATTCAGAAGTTTTCACAGATGCATTCAACCTAGAACAACTATGATAAACCATTCCTTTACTGATCAACTCAAACGTACATTTAGTGGGATCTAGTTAGTTAATGTCCTGCTTAGGATGTCCACCTGAATATTATTAGCTGACAACAGCACGCAGTTACCATCCTGATACTCAGAAAGAATGGCCTTTTTTTATTTACTTTTGAATTGGCCATCAACAATGGGAAATCCCACAGCATTAGCCACTCCCTGAGTAGAGGAATAGTATCAATGGAAAGTCCCTTTATCCTTTCACTTTCTTTTATTATGTTTTTTAAATTTTTTTATTAAACCCACTCTCAGAAAGCTGAGGCTCGAGCGGGAGCTTACATCAGGTTATGCATAAATGTGTTGCCATGCCTGCTTGGCAGTAAAGCCGGATGATATCAATGTTATAAGTATTGTAATATGAGCCTGGCCAGGTTGTAAGTCTGTGTGTAATCTCATCTGTTTTGTATTAATGTGTGATCTCAACTCTCCTAACAGGTACGTCCTCCGGTGCCTCGTCTCCCTTCAGGAAAGAGCAGCCTTTATTTTCCCTCAGACAGGTTGGGATGATTTGTGAAAGACTGCTGAAAGAGCGAGAGGACAAAATCCGCGAGGAGTACGACGAGATTCTGACGACGAAGCTTGCCGGTATGAAGGAATGAAAAAAGATATGTAGAACAATGTGGAGTGAGTCATTCATAAATGTTCTAATGAATGTGTTGTTCTTCCAACAGAGCAATATGATGCGTTTGTCAAGTTCACGCACGACCAACTGATGCGAAGGTTCGGAGAGCAGCCTGCCAGCTGTGAGTATATTTATTGTTTTATTTGTTATGGTATTTGTATTTTGTTTTTCTTACTGATCCCTGAAAGCAAAGTTTGTTGTGTAAGACATGAGTAACTTCTGGTGTGTTTACATTGTGCACAGTAGACAGCTGCTTGTCCAATGTGTAGCTAAACAGGCCCGATTCAAATAAAGATAAATACATTCAAATAAATCCAGAAGGTCTTGCTCGTACCTCTGCTTTAGACCCCGATACTTCGCTCTGCTTGCCCTTTTTTATCTCCGACTGCTCCGAGACGTAATGTGAGGAGAACACAGTAAAGCAGGGGAATACAATGGAGGTCAATACAGTGTTTCCCCTAGGATGGATTCATAGCAGCATGATGTGAGCGCGGAGCACGTGGAATTTTTTTAGTGTGTGCACGTGCATATTTTTGTTTCTCTCCAACTTTAAACTATATTTTTGGTTTACTGTCCTATAGTATACATTGGAATGGTTTCAAACCTGTTTTTATTTATCCTAATAATTATAAAGGAATGCCTTGGAAATATGTGTTGACATAATTTAGGAAAATTAGGATGAGCGCCAACGGTCAAAAATGTTTCCCCCCCCCCCCCCCCCCCCCCAGAGCTACCAGCGCAGCGCCCCCCAGATCTGGCGCCCTAGACGACCGCCTATGTCGCCTAGGCCAAAAATCGGCCCTGCCTAGTACATACAGTGGCAATGTCTCAAGATTTAGCAAAAATATACCTTTATTGAACATACAGTAACACAAATACTACAAATCCACATAACAAACAATCAAAAATGAAAAAGGGTCGCCAATTATTATTATTTTTTTTTTCTAGCAGCGGCGCTGCGCCGCCACTATTTGTATATAGGGGAAACACTGCAATATAATCATACTAGGTCTTAACCCAAACAAATACCTTGCATCTGTGGTGTGTGTTCTTGAGACACACGTGTGGTAGTTGTTGAGGAAGCGATTCAAAATGTGTTTGTATTGAAGTGTGATCTTCTTCCTCTGCAGACGTTTCCTGAGTGTGGGCCTCTGACGTTAAGGAATCCAATTTGCTGCAAAATTCTCCGGGACTCATTGGTTCTAGTTGGACTTTTCTCCTAACTGTGCCATATCTATGTGGACTCAGTTTGTGGCGTTGGCTGGGTCTGCCAGAGTTAGGAGGGCTTCCTGCTGCCGACTTGTTTAAGGACTCTCTCTCTCTGTGACTCTACCTGTTGCCTCTTAACCGCCGTGTCAATATTTATTTGGCTTTGTTCTGATGCCTTCGTAAAAGGCTGACTGCCAAACACACTTTGCCTTTTGATTTTATTACGTTTTTGTTTAATTTAGTTATTTCACGGAGAGGATTTTACGACTAACATCTCGATGTACATTTTTGAAAAAAGGGATTCAACATTGACAAGTGGACGAGCGAAGGCTGCCTTCAGACTGGACTGCTGGCATCTTGGCTTTTTTCAGCGTTTTAATCTGTACAGGCACTTCCTGCTTTTACATTTGTATACACTGTATTCTCTTTTTTTTGCTTGACCTATTTTCATTGTACCAAAATGTCTTGATTTTATTTGCTGTATGTATAAAGGGGCTTTGATTCAAGAAGAGCAGACAAATAAAGTGTTTACACAAGTATTTGTGTTGTGTTTTTTCACATAATTTGTTACGATAAGGTAGGGCTGCTCGATTATGGCAAAAATCACGATTATTTTGGTCAATAATTGATATCACGATTATTAAATACGATTATTCATTGACTTTGAAAATATCCATTTATTGAACTTTAAAACAAATGCAAATAATAATTTGAACAGTATCTTTTTAACTGTTGATTACCCTGAACGTATAATTCAACTGAAAAACCAATACTAAAATAATAAATACCAATAAACAAGATCAACAAATATTTTGGAGCGGACTTCAACAAGCTACTAAAAATATAAATATGATAAATAAAAATAAATTAGATCAAATATGTTGCAGTACTCTGTCACAACCTAGCAAAGCAAAATCATTGTTTTTTTTATGTTTTCGTAATTGTGGCAGGCCAAAATCGTAATTGCGATTCAAATAAGATTAATTGCACAGTCCTACGATAAGGTCATTTTTTTTGACATGCTACCACCACAGGTCAATGAAAGTGAGGAGTCTGGTTTTAGTTTCTTTGTCTCAAGTGTTTCATACAACAAATAACATCATTATTTAGGGGGAAGTGTCTTGCCCAAGGACACATCGACATGCTGACTGCAGTGCCCCCTTTATCCAAAGATCAGCGTACTAACCCACTGAGCAACATCCTTAATCAACTATTCTCATTGGGAATATTATGTAGAGAAATGTAAGTATTGCTGGGTTTTTTTAAGCTTCAGTTCACTATTTAGTGCCAGACCCCTGCATTCACACTGGAGCTGGCAGCAATAACTTAAAAAATAAAAATCAAGTCAGCATTATGTGACACTTGAACCAGAGTATAAACCTTTATATATACAGGCTATGGTATAAACTAATAAGTCATGATGGACAGTCTTTTATCAAGCCATCAGGACACACTAATAAAGATACACATTTTTCATATAATCATGGTTTTAAACTTTCACTAGTATAAGGAAGCATGCTAACATTTTATAAAAGCTTGCATTTTATGTGTAAATGACCAGCAGATGAAAACCAAATGAATATATTAAAATTAGCTAAAATTACATTTAAAATGAATCCCTTTCCGTATTTCTTTACATAGTTGTCTAAATATTTTTTATTTCTTGGGTTTATAATTATTATCTGAAGCACTTTGGGTTGCTTTTGTATAAATATTATTTATTAATTTATTACATATGTATTTATTGTATTTCATTTTTCATGAACCTGGTTTAAGTGACCGGATGTTACCCACCGTCGGGAGGAACGGAGAAAATAATCGAACGAACCCATTCTAGTCGGTGACGTAGTAAGCAAACGAAGCTTGTGATTGGACGAGCTGGCAGGAAAGCGGTGTGGCTAAGGAGGAAGTACAGTAGCTATGCCAATGTGAATTGATTACACATGTCATTGTTGCTAACTTAGCAACGACTTTATTTGCATTGAAGCGTGTTTGATCGTTTGCGAAACATGGCTTGTTTTTTCAGAAGAAAGATAGCAGCAAAGGTAACGAAGCTGTAAGACTTGATAGATGACACACTATGCTAATGCTAACTTAGCAACATGCCTTGACCCTGGAGGATGTAAATACAAGAGGCAGGACTGTCTGTTTATCTATGTTGCTTCAATCTTATACGTCTTTTTTTGCTGTATAGCTGGGTCGTACGCTGCAGCAGTCTGAGGATGTCTTCATACCAGCTCTGTCAGCAGTTCCAGTTTTTAGGAAACAGTTAAGTTTGTTTAAGATTACCTCTGTGTGTCCTCTCTTTATGTGTTTTTGTTAAAGCTCCTTGAACTTGTTCTCCTCAGGCAGAGTCCTGACTTCAAACTGTCAATCAACACATTACGGAGCAGTGGGGTTTTACCATCCAGTGGTGACACCCAGCAGCAATCAGAGGAATTAGCCAACCGGGTAAGATCACATGTGGAGAAAGTCTGGTTAAAGCTACAACTTGTGATGTTGCAGGCTCACAAATAGACAGTTTTTTCACAATTTAATACAAAATACTTGATTTATCACATAGAATAAATAGCTTGTTGTTAATGGCTTTTATTATTGTTTGTGGATTTGTTTTGTTATTGTGTTAAATGTGTCATATAAAGTTTGACTTCAATCAAAAAGTTAATTAAATATTTCTGTCCTTAAAGGTGGGGTAGGTAATTCACTTCAGAAACACTTTTTGTTATATTCCATGGAATGCTCTTAACATCCCGATAGCAATGAATATATTAAATGCTTTGACAATAAATACATAAAAAAATGTCATCTGTGGAAGCCGTGGCGCTGTAAAAAGCACGACCAATAATCTGAGCCGGCCCGGCTAAAATAACTGGATGGCCTACCTGCCTGTCAGCCTTCCATCTGTGCACAAACTTATCTCGTGCCCTCATTGGTCATGTGCGCGTTCGTGTGTGTTGGAGGAGGGGCTCTGTATGGAAGTCTGAAGGAAGAGGCAGATTTCTTTCGGTTGTGTATTTTCAAATTCTAGCGCACTCGAGCTGGTTTCTCCAAAATTACCTACCCTACCTTTTAACAATAAAAAACACATGATCTTATATATCTGCATTAAAATCAATTGTGTATGTCTCAGTTAAAGCAGGACAGTGTGGTGGAAGATATTTCTGCTGGAAATGGAGTGATAAACTTCAAAGTGAATCGGAAGCTTCTTGTCGAGGTTTGTCAGCTTTATTTTCCTCTTCGGTAAAAAACCAAAGTGTTGTTTGCTTGTATTGGGATTTCTAATCTGTTCTCCTTCTAGAAAATGTTGGAGCCATTTGGAAAGGAGGATGATCACAAATTTGGATTAAATAGTGAACTCTTCAAGACTCTTAAGAAAGGAACAACATTAGTTGAGTATAGGTATGTTTGACAAATAACCTCACCACCACATGCATGTATTCCCCTCTTAGATTGTCAACAGACAGAATCAATGTGTATTTCATTTTGCAGCTCTCCAAATATTGCCAAGAAGTTTCACGCTGGACACTTAAGATCTACAATTATTGGTGAGTTTTGTCTTGAACTCTATTTCTTCAGTAGCAGAAATAGTTACACATAAATATATAAATAATTATAATTTCCGTCTCCAGGTAACTTCATTGCCAACCTAAAGCAGTCACTTGGAAACAATGTTATTAGAATGAACTACCTCGGAGACTGGGGTATGCAGTTTGGTGAGTAAATAGTGCGCAAAATATTGAATGGTGAATAAAGTCCTAAATGCCTCTCTTTGTGTAAACTTTATATGTTATTTCAGGTTTGCTAGGAGCTGGGTTTGGAAAATTTGGCTGCCAGGAAAAACTGAAACAGAATCCCCTACAGCATTTGTTTGAGGTGAATATGCATTTTGGAAACAACTGCAGTGTTAATGCTAGCTTCATGGCAAATGGAAAGAAATCCTGCAGCGGCACAAACAATAATACCACTTAAAAACACTGGGGGGGGAAACATTTCTGTTCCTGCTTTAAAAAAAAAAAAGTTTTCTTCAATATCACCAAGGCCTTTGTTTTTGTTATTGTCATGCAGGTTTATGTTCAAGTAAACAAGGAAGCGGAGCACAATGAGGACACGATGCAGGCGGCCAGAGACTTCTTCAGACAGCTGGAGCAGCATGAGAGCGAAGCTGTGTCGTTATGGCAACAGTTCAGAGAGATCACAGTGGACGAGTATCAACGTGTTTACAAAGTGAGACCAGCTGGGATAATACCAATACCAATTATGTCCTTTTTGAGTTGGCTCCAATCCACTGTTTTAATGTCAAATGTAAGGTTTATTTTCAAATCTTTTCAGCGTTTAAACGTCCACTTTGATATTTACTCCGGGGAGTCCTTTCACCAACATGGAGCCCAGGAGGTGGTGCAGCAGCTGCAGAGCCGAGGCCTGTTAAAAACCTCTGAGTATGTAAACATGTAAACAAGCAGAAACATGTGTTATAAGGCCAGTGGTTCAGCTTCCTGCTCCCAGATGGTTTATTCACTGTGTGGCTAAAAGAGGACTTTAACATCACCACCACTGAGTAGATGAGTTTCCTCTTTTTGTCAAATGTTGAAGGCTCAAAAATTCACGAGTAGGGTATTTACTGACTTATTTTATATCATAGATCGTATAAAATCTCCTTAATTTGTGTTTATCACCGACCTTATTTCAGGCATTTTAGCTAATCCCATTCAAAAAAACCTATCGACTCTGAAATAATAATAATAATAATAATAAATGATATTTTTATATAGCGCCTTTCAAGGGACTCAAGGTCGCTGTACATGGTGGACAAACAAAACAAACAGACAATCAAAGGGCAAACAACAAATAAAGGAAGCCGGGGGACCAAGAAAGGGCTAGGGCCCGAGGGCCAGGGTGAACAGGTGTGTTTTTAATGATGGTTTGAAGATGTCCAGGGAGGCAGCATTACGGATCTCGGCAGGAAGTGCATTCCAGAGGGTGGGGGCCGCAACACTGAACGCCCTGTCACCAACAGTTCGGAGGCGAGAGCGGGGGATGGAGAGCAGGCCCGTGTCTGAGGACCGCAGACTCCGAGAAGGGGTGTAGGGATGGAGGAGGTCCGATAAGTACTGGGGGGCGAGGGTAAGGAGGGACTTGTACTGAATCCGGGACTTGACCGGCAGCCAGTGTAGGTGGATGAGAAGTGGGGGTGATATGTTGCCATGGCTTGGTGCGGGTGAGAAAGCCTGGCGGCAGAGTTCTGGACGTATTGGAGCCTGTCCAGGGTTTTGCTGGGAACCCCGGACAGGACTCCATTGCAGTAGTCCAGACGGGATGTGATGAAGGCGTGTACAAGTGTTTCTGCCACAGAGTCAGAGAGTTTTAAATAAGTCAAACAAACGTGTTAAAATGCTGACTCATTACTACATTTTAGGATTAATTTCTGCAGAACTCTCTTGGCTGAGCATCTGTTTATTTATTATTAATCTATTTTCAATAAGGAGCAGGTAATATGAGATATTTGTTACCCTTGTCCTTTTTGGTTTTCGGTTACTTTGTTACATACCATCTTATATGTTGGAAGTTGATTTGATTTTATCTTTAGATATGTCCCTGTATGTGTCGTTGTCCAGAAATAGTATTTTTTAGGAAGTCTTCATTCCATAGTTTGTCCAGCAGAGAGCACTGACACATTGATGTGATATTGTCCTGTACACATCTTTATACATGTATTGTCAATAATAAACAGTGAGTGGTAGATATAGTTATTATACATATACAATATAACCAGTATGAACCGTGCAGCATTAGAGTAGGTACAGACACATTATTGGTAATATATTGTTTTAAAAAAAAGTAGGATATGGAGAAATTATAAATGATAGTATAAAATAGTCTGCGAACTACAGTTCCTTTTGCCAAACACTCGCCTCTCTACACTATAACAACTTAAAATACCACATATTGAATATTATTTGCACCTTTTCAGTGACACAGTGAAGACTTTTTAGTCATTTCTTTTACCCTGGAGGCTGTGTTTTCTTTTGTATAATTTTTTTTTGTATAACACTTCATTGCAGTAGACATTGGTGTTTTAAAAACTTGAGCTAACATGGACGTGCTATATCCAACAACATCATCGCGGACCCAAACCATGTTCTGAACAGCGAATATGAACTGCTACCATCTAATCGGAGATACAGGGTCCCACGATTCAATAAGGTCAGACTGAAGCACTCCTTTGTGCACCAGTCAATCCTCACAGTAAATACAGAGCTGAATCCAGATCAAATGCATGCTATCTGTCTTGATATTTGTCTATGTTGATGTTACACATGGAGCTGTCGTGATGCAAGTCAATTTTCAGACTTGATCTGACCAATAAAGTATTATCGTATCGTATTTTCAGGACAGGAGCCGGTGTAGTGGATACGTCCACAGGTGGAGACATGAGCAGCGTCTGTGCGGTGCAGCGCGCCGACGGCACAACGCTGTACATCACCAGGTCAGTGCGAGGAGATACAGTCAATTAAATCTGCAATTCTTTTACATTTTATAACCAAAAATGACATAACGGATCATAGCTATGTTATCAGATGATAATGCATAGGAAATGATGTTTGAGTGAAAGTGGTCGTACAGTAACGGTTAATATTCTGCATTTCAGGGATCTTGCTGCAGCGATCGACAGAAAAGAAAAGTACAATTTTGATGAGATGATTTATGTGGTAAGGAAAGGGGTTTCAAGCTTTCTATTTTTACTTTTTACATTTTTAACACTGCTGTCTTTTTAAGAATAAAGCAGTCATTCATTCATAACAAATTACACGACTCAATCAAAAGTAGATAAAGAAATACAATTAAAATACAACAATAAAAAATACAAAGTGCACGTTCATTTGTGAAAAAGAAATAATTAATTAAAAAAATAAAATAAAAAGCTTAATAAAATGTCAACAGAAAATAATGGCTTGGGAAATAATGAAGTTAATGAGGAACATAGGTATATTTTCTAATAAATACATTTTCTTTTTCATACATTTTTCCTATTAATGTGCCTTTTTCTTAATCTTCAAATTAACCACTTCATTTATTTGGTAATTGAGACTTTTATTTCTACATATATTTATTGACTGATTCCTTTATTTATTCATTCATTTATTTGAATGGGACAAATACAAATAAGATTGTGAAAACTATGTTTGACTAACAGACACAGGAGCAAGAAATAAAAAATAATAGACAAATGCAATATAAAAAAACATTGGCATATTAAATACTGGACTTTCACTGAAGTGCCACTTTTTTTTAAAATTTTTTTTAAAATGTCCTTACGAACCAATTTGTTGAGAACAGAACAAAAAACATACAAAAACAAGTATGCAACAAATGCCAGGCCCTGCCCTGCAGTGTAAACAAACATTCTGAAAGCTGATTGTGTTCGGGACGGAGTGGCGCAGTGGGCTCTGTGTTGATCATCAGATCAAGGGTGGCGCTGGGGAACTCCAGTTCGAAACCCGCCGCTGCGTCAGGCCGTTGTGTCCTTGGCCAAGACACTTCACCCGAATTTGCTCCTGTGGGTACTGTCCACAGTACATGACCGTTACATGTATGATATGTGTGTAATGTGTACTTGTAAAGCGCCTTGATGACTTTGAGGTGGGAAGATGGGCGGAGTGGCGCAGTGGGCTGTGCGTTGATCATCAGATCAAGGGGGCGTTGGGGAACACCAGTTCGAAACCCGCCGCTGCGTCTGTAAAGCCGTTGTGTCCTTGGGGAAGACACTTCACCTGAATTTGCTTCTGTGGGTATTGTCCACAGTACATGACCGTTACATGTGTGTAATGTGTATTTTTAAAGTGCTTTGAGCATCTGGAAAAGCGCTATAATAAATGTAAGGAATTATATTATTATTATTATTATTTTGTGACGTCAAATCCTGTAAGTTTCTTATAGTTTATCAAATGTTTATACAACTTTTACAACTATTGAATGTCTATTTTCTTTACTTGAACTCTCTTCACATGCTGCTTATTGCTACATATTGATCATTTTGCTGAATTGAAAGCATATTTGTTCTTTTTTTTAGACGGATAAAGGTCAAGCCAATCACTTCAACCAGTTGTTCCACATTCTGCGTGCTTTGGGACATTCTTGGGCTGACAGGTAGCAAGAAAAAACAACAACATACATAACATAGTGGAGGTTTCATTGATTTGTTGAATTTGTTTAAATGTTAATTTTGTAGTAGTATTCAGGTCTTAAGAGATAAAATAGTAGTTTACTTACTTTTCACACTACACAGGTTTAAAATGGGAATATAATCAAGTAAGTGTTCTACTCTGGAATACATATTCTGTTTCTGAGAACAGTATTTTCTCTGTCTCTATAATTGTAACCAAATGTAAAAACATGGATTGAGCAATACTTCACTACATCATCACCCCACCCACCACAGACCGCTGTTTCTAATCAGAAACAGCTCTCAAAGATGGCTGTGTTGCCTGTGTCAGTTTACATGCTTTGCTGAATACATTTACTCATTCACTTAAAGGTGGGGTAGGTAAGTTTGAGAAACCGGCTCGAGATACACTTTTTGTTATATTCCATGGAATGCTCTTAACATCCCGATAGCAATGAATATCTTAAGTGCTTTGACAAAAAATCCATAAAGAAATGTCATCTGTGGAAGCCGTAATACTGTAAAAAGCACGACCAATCATTTTGCTAAAATAACTGGATGGCCTACCTGCCTGTCAGCCTTCCATCGGGGCACAAACTTATCTCGTGCCCTCATTGGTCATGTGCGCTTTCGTGTGTGTTGGAGGAGGGGCTCTGTAAGGATGTGGCAGATTTTCTCCGGTCGTGTATTTTCAAATTCTAGCACACTCGAGCTGGTTTCTCCAAATGTACCTACCCCACCTTTAAGTTAACATTTTATTTAGATTTGTATGTACTTTTTAAGGTATGTTTTATAGACATTTTATGCTCCTTTTTTACTCCTTTTGTGTTTTACTCCTATATGTATGAACAGTTTAGTAACTTTAAAATAAAAAACAGTTTTTAAATAATTTGATAAACACAGAAAATATAATACATATAGGCTATATCATAACACCAAATAGGTGTTAAAATAAGCTTTACCTCCACTGACTTCAACATTAAAGTGCTGCTCACATGTTAATGCATCAGTAAAGCTAAACAATAATATTCATTAATATTTTATAACATTAAAAAGGGCCGTTCTTCAAAATGACTGCTGTTTAGAAAAATACGTATCCATTCTTACCAAGCTAAAACTGTGACTACAACACTTACACTTATAACTGAGTATTTGTTCTAAGTGTTATACAGATTTTCTTAATAAATGAATGTGTGTTTGCAGGTGTGAGCATGTGCCCTTCGGCCTGGTGCGGGGCATGAGCACCCGCAGCGGGGAGGTGGTGTTTCTGGAGGACGTTCTGAACGAGGCTCGCAACAGGATGCTGCACAACATGAGCCAGTCAAAGAGTAAACACAGTAATACTTTAAATGATCAGTTCTTTATTGCATGCCTCTGTGTGCCAAAAGTACATTTGCATGTCCCCAAACATCCGTTATTATGTTTGTAACATTTGTTTTATAGATGGAGCAGGAGTCATTTAAACTTCAAAATCAAAAGGGGGCATACTCAGTTTTTTTCTAATTTATCAGAGTCATTCTGGTAATGGTACATTAGAAGGGATTTTAAATGGACATTAGTAAATTATTGCTGTAAAGGAAGTGTGTGTCAATGCAAAACAAGCTGTTTTCAACAACATTAGCACAATCACAACATTGCATCAATATTTTCAAATGGCAAATACTAAGAGAACGGTCCACTGTGAGAATGATTAACCTCTGTCTTACTTCCCACAGCGACAAAAGAAATGGACGACCCTGAGGACACAGCAGAGAAAGTGGGAATCAGTGCACTAATAGTCCAGGTAAATTGTTAGTTTGAACTTTAGTAAAAGATCTGACTTTTCTGCTCAATATGATTTAAAGGGGATCTATCATGGGGGGTGGCATTGGGATATATATTTTTTAAATCCTCTGGAGCAGAGAGAGGAGCTGTGGATTATTGTTATTGATTAATGCATCAGTGTTTGTTAGGGTCAAAAACACTAAACTCACAACTTAAAATGAAAGTGTTTAGTTTATTTAATAAAAGAGCACATGTTCAATGTGAAAAGTGACAGTAGATATAGATTAGTTGCAATTTGGTGCTATATATATATATATTTAAAAAAAACAAATATTATAATATATATATATTTTTTTTAAACACCTTGAATTTCAGGGGGGGCGCGGGGCTCCGTTGGCGGGGCTCCGTTGGCGGGGCTCCGTTGGCGGGGCTCCGTTGGCGGGGCTCCGTTGGCGGGGCGCAGCGCCCCTCCAAGACAATGGTAGGGGAAACACTGATGGCTAGAATGGGTGATCTGTTTGGTATTTTGAGCAAAACACTTCATAGACATGTTTTTTATATATTTGTATATATCTGAGACCTATGCTATTGCCTAAAAATAGCATGATAGGCAGAGATGGGGTCGTTACTAAAAAAAAGTAATATATTACATATTACATATTACTTTTAAAAAAAGTAATATATTACACTACTTCGTTACTCTCTACATAAAGTAACTTGTTACTTTACTCGTTACTTTACTCGCAGGGCCGGCCCGCCCCTCCCTACAGGCAGATCACGCAGACTGCTAAAGTTTCAAATGTTCTCTTTAGTTCAGTTTCCATTGTCGCATAAGACTGATCCAGATAGCTCTGACTATGGCTGTCCTCTGTCTCCTGCTATCTGTATTTTGCGCAGTATATCTCTGAACAATGCGATGGTGATTCCACTGTGCAAATGGGCAACATTACCTCTACTATGAAGGATGCTACAAGCCTGTCCATCTCTGCTTCGGCGGTGGCGCACTCACAACATCCTCACTCTGGGTTCGGGGGTCCTTAGCTATTAGCTTCACCTTAGCATGTGTTCTTTGCAGGTGTTTGTTGAGGTTTGACGTGGTGTTTACAGCAGTGGATAACAGCTTCTGGACTGGACACAGTTTGCACCTCACCGTCACATTCCTGTCTATTCTTCGGACGAACTCAAAATAATGGGCATACCTCCACCCCTCGAAAGTTATCGCTGACTCTGCCATGTTTATGCAGCACTGCACGTGGAGATGTGGACGCGCAAGTCGCGCAGATTACGTACATATAAACCTGCGGCGGAAACCCCTCTTGTCTGTCAGTGTGATTATGACTGATTTTATAAAAGTAACGAAGTAACGCGTGTCGGGGCAATGTTAGTAACTGTAGTGTGATTACTGAATTATAAAAGTAACGCGTTACACTACTCCGTTACCGACAAAAGTAATATTATTACAGTAACGCGTTACACCCAACTCTGATGATAGGTGACCTTTAAGATTCTTGATTCCCTTTGACTTTGTTTCAGGACTTCAAAGGTCCTCTGCACTCGGACTATAAGTTTGACTGGGACCGGATGCTGCAGGCTCAGGGAGACACGGGCGTCTTCCTCCAGTACACACACGCTCGACTCTGCAGGTCTGATTTTATACACACACACACCTAAAATAATATATATCTCAGAAATCCTGATCATGACTAACATACAGTTTATACATAGACATATTTATTTTTCACTTGAAACTTATGCTTATTGGGTTTTTAATTTAACCAGAAAAGACTCGTCAAGGATTCAACTTATACAGGTTTTTTCAGATCGCATGAATGGCAATAGCCTGAAAGGTTATTATGGAGTTTATGCCCAAAATATACTGCCTACCCCGCCTTCAATCCATTTGTCATGGATTTATTCTGTCTTAACGGTATAAAAAAATTTAAATAAACAACATTTCTATTCATCTACATCTACATCTGTATAGTAATTGACACAAAACACATAGTATAAACAAGAGCTGTCTTCTAAAGTGTTTTTATTTACACCTTTTTATTATTGTTGTGTTCTTCCTGCAGTTTAATACGCAGCAATGAAGGTGTCGGTGGATTTATATTTGATCCATCGCTCCTACTCGAGCCAACGAGCATCATCGTCCTGCAGCACCTGCTTCGGTGAGCAAACAACTTTCCTAAAAACATGCCCGATAACTTCTGGTTATTGTCAAACAACAAGAAAAGAAGATCACACCGTCTGTCAGTGTTGTGCTAAATGTTTTGTACTCAAGCATATAACATTTTATTTGCAGCTACGATGAGGTTTTGTACCAGTCGTCCCAGGATCTGCAGCCCAAACACCTCGTCAACTTTTTATTGAAGCTGTGGTGAGACGGGAGGTTTAAGTTAAAGTTTAACTGGCACTTTACTGTTCGTATGGTCATCAAGTGCACAAGTGTAATAAAAGTCTTCCTCTTCAATGTCTTCCAGCCACCTGGTTGCCTCGGCACACAGAGAGCTGCCGGTAAAAGGGAGCAGTCAGGATGTTGCACAGGTAAATAGGAAGTCACTAAAAGTACATATCTATGCACCGTCATGGAACATTGTCCAATGAGTAAATACTTCCTCATAGGGACAGTTCAGATTCTTTAGGCAAGTTTATTTATTGCCTTGCCTTTATTTATATAGCACTTTCGCTCTCAATTGCAAAAAGTAAAACCAATATTTATTTAACTAATTAAGAGTCATCTTATGTTCTAAATGTCAACAGGCGAGGTTGCGACTGTTCAGCGGAGCGCGCTCAGTCCTGGCCGGTGGGATGAGGATCCTGGGAATCACACCGGTGGATAAAATGTGAAGCTACATTATCAGTGTTCATTTAACAACTGAGGTGCCACACTGCTTTTAGTTAATTATTACTGTAAATAAAAGGCCTTTTTTATTGAAATAAAATCATCAGAAGATCTGGTCTCACATTTCTTTCACACATTTCATGATCATTAGATTACTTTGAGCTGCCTTTTTTTTAAAATTCAAAACTACAATCTTAGTGTGATCAACCATGAAGATATGAAACCTGTAAGTATATAGCTAAATTCAAGCCAACATTTTTACATACAGAAATTAGAGGGATTTTTATTTGACTTCTTAATGTTTTCACACATACATGTAAATATACCCAATATGTATATATGACCCAATATGTATATATGTTCATTTTACTTAATTTCTTATTTTATAGTTATTTTATTTATCTTTGATTTGATTAATCTGTGTGAATATGTGCTGTCTTGTTTTTCATCCTTACCCTGTTGCTATTAAACTGCTGAATTTCCCCACAGGGATTAAAAAAAGGTCCATCTTACTGTATCTTATCTTAATAGATTTTATTGGCCGAGGTGCATTTGAAAACCCGCTCGCAGTTAGAGATTGCAAAGTGAAGTGCACATGCTGGAGTGTGTCGTTTTCTGAAGCGGATTCAGGCAACCACTGCTAACAAGTTAGGAGGAGCGGAGTAGTGTGTGAGAACTTAGCTAGCTAGAAAACCAGTCTGGCTGCTGCCTCTGGATGTGTGCCAGAGCTCGTATGGCGTGAGAGGAAAAGAGCTTGGAGCAGAACTTTAATCATCCTGATGTTTTGAAGAATGTATTTGCAGGAGTGGGTCGTTCAGCGATGTTGGCAGTAAAGGACTGTCTTCTTATTAAGTGTAAATTATGATGTAAAGCACTTTGAATTACCTGTGTCTGAAAATGTGCTATAGAAATAAACATACCTTACCTGGCTTACACCCAAGACTTGTTGGTAACCGTTGGAAACACCCTAACCTTTGCTAAAAGTATAACAGGTTAGGTGATACATCTCAGCTCCTTTTGTCCTCATTAACAGCTGAATACATAGTAATACATAATGGTGAGAGTGGTACAACTGGTTCAGCCGAGTCCTACACAGGAAAGTATGTAGCATCTGGTTTGACCGAAAAAGATCTATGGGATATACTTAATCTCAGGCACAATTATTTGTTGTGTGTCTGTTAGTTTAGCCAACATGTTAAGATACAAATAATTTCATAGATACAGCATCACACAGTGCAGAATCTAAAAGTTGATCGAAGACCTCTCAAACAGCTTCAACAGAAACTGAACGTTATATAAACTGATTGTCGTTATTATCAATTCTATCCATTAAGAGTTCATTGGTAGGATTTCTTACATGCTGAGCACAAAAAGCAGCCGTCCCTTTTACCACTATTTCCATTCAGTTTTAATAAAAGCTTTAAAATGACTTTCAAAACAGAATGCGACACAGATGTGATACAAAAAGATAAAAGACAGTAAAGAGATGATATTATAAACATAATCAGACATGCAGTCGGTCGTCATCCTTTTTCAAGTATGTTTTCCCGTGAGTCGGGCACATTCAGATGTAGCACTATGTGATATGGCCATAGACATTTCACAGTGTAAAACAGACAAATTACTGATTGACAAAAAAAACGTACATGATATGGAGTCGTTACATTTATACGCCTCGTAAAACAGATATATTGAGGCATCACAATCAAAGTAACAAAGTCCTGTCAATGCTTATCGCTCCAGCATGGCTAAAGATTAATTTAAAGACTTTGATGATTGCCTCAGATTATTTACAGAAATTAAATTGGGCCAGCTATAAAGGCAAGCTTATGGTCAAATGTGTGTGTTTCTTCATATCAACCGAAACATTACTGATGAACAAGACGACTCAACTGAGTGTTCATTTGCAGAATAACGGAAGTGGATCCCAAATCTCCAAAGAGCTCTTTAGGTCCCTAGAGAAGGTGACCACCTCTTTCCCCCCCCCCCCAGGAAAGACTCGGCGGCTCAAACATTGATCAGTTTCTGTTTGGATTCTGCGTCCGAGTCCTGCCGGGTCGTCCTCATTGTCTCCGACTTTGGCAGTCCGTACAGATAGATGGAAACGCACACCAGGAGGGCCCCGGAGGCAAAGGGGATCGCTGCACAAGAGGGAAAGAAAAGCAAAATGAGACATTCATATCATTCAGAAAGACATCGTAACACTTTCATGACACTCAAGGACACCGTACAGTTTGTTAAACATGCTAAGAGGCAACAGAGCATGATAAAAACACAAACAGGAAATCATGGAGGAGACAATCAAAGGGGACACAAATGAAACACATGATGGGGAGCACTACAGGGAGTAGGCTGATTTGAACAGGTGTGATGATTGCAGTGAAAATGCAGCTTTTTTTCTTTAAAAGGCGAAACACTAACAGATATGGATTGACGAAGATTATTCTGTTAGATAAAAATGGGAATTTAGGAATACATTTTTTCCAATGAATATGGATTTGTTTGACTTTTTGGAAATGTTTTAGTGTCAAACTCAATTTCATCGCAGGCAACATTGGCATTAAGGTTGCACTCAAAGGGGCCGGTTGTAATTTTAAGACTACATACAAATACATATAATATATTTAAAACAATGTATTATATTACATTATTGCCCCTGCATTGGATTATTATTGGATAGGGTAATAACTTCATAATTAACTACGTCTGAAAGCAGAAGTCTGGGGCAAATAATTGCAAGTCTCTTCAGTGCGCATGTCACAAAATGAGATGCATTGTGGGACATGTAGTTTATGGGCAACGTTACTTCTGTAAAGCGGCATGTAACCATATAATAAACTTATTTTATGCTTTGCAAGCTCTTGCGCGGGCCTTGAGTTGGACACCCCTGTTTTAAACCAATGTGGAGCACCAACTACTGGACTCTAATTCTCAGTACTGGTACAACCCTGATCATTAGTTCACCAACACTTATGTTTGAGATATTAACGTACTTATATGCAGTCCAAACAATAGGACAGACGCCACAGTCGACAGGACGATGGCGGCCGCAGCCGAGAAGCCCTTCATGATGTTGTCGGTGTACTTCACCACCACCGACGTGTACAGACCACCTACACTGGCCAAGACTGGAGGCAAAAAGAGCAGTGTCAGCTAAAATACTGTGGGGGAAAAAGTGAAATCAAATAGAAATTATCCTCGGTTTATGTCGTACTTACGCACTACAAAGTACACCCAGTGCGTATAACCGAAGAAGAAGCCGTTCTCCAGGACCTTATTACCGTCGTTCAGGAAAACACCGATCAGGGTGATCACAATACCAGACAGGTACATCTGGATGTTTCTCACCCACAGGGAAGTATCGGAGCTCTTTAACACCTTCTCAAAGTACACGCCTTTAGCAGAAAGGGACACAAAACTACAAGTGAATACTCAAACATCTTGAATTACGGTAAGACAAGACGACATATCTGAAACCTCAATGACAGCCATTCCATTTTAGCAACACCTGAGGAAAGAAATATTTCAGGACAGCAGCAGGTGTTCTTTTTGGTGTATTTGTATTTAGTGTGGTAGCTAAATAAATATTGGATATAATTAGGTAAAAGGACCACAAGCAATTTCCACAGAATCCTTTGCAGTTTTACCTGCAAATCCCGAACAAAGGACAGCAATGGCGATGGCGACAAACCCAACAAAAGGATTTTGCTCCACCTGGAAAACAAAGACATGAGACCAGAGACAGGTGGTAAATTACTACCTGCAATTTCAGTAGAACCAGCCAATAAAAACCACAATCCATGACGTCACGAGTCACAGGATGTTTACCGAGTCACAGTTATCAAAATATATAATAATGTTCTACTTTCAGGGTTGGGTTAAGGAAGTACTTTCAGTCTAACTAAATTATAAAAAATAAGAGATGTGCTCAAATAATTATATATAAAAGTAATTTGATGTTATTGCCTATCTAAAGTTATTATTAATAAGTATTTTCAGTTTTTCTCTCTTTTTATTTTAGAGTCAAGTTTTCTTAGTTATCCTTATTTCATTTGTCTTGTGTTGTTACGTGTTGTTGATGTATTAGACACAACGTTTTAAAAAAGAGACACCAGTATGGTTGTATAATTTAAATTGTAACTTAAACAGCACCAGACACTTTTTACGCTGCGATGGGCAATCTTGCACTAATGTAAATTCTCAAAATATTGAAGTGACTGTTATTTTGTATATATTGATTGTTGTGTTTTTATTTAGGTCTTAATGTGTGCACATGTAAAAATGTGTCTTTGACTGTGTATACATATTTGCACACATATTTTTATATACAGGATTGTGGGAAACGGTATTTCGATCTCTCTGTCTGTACACACAAACTGGAAGATTGACAATAAAGTTGACTTTGAGCCCCCCACCCACCTGAACTTTAGTGGCCTCTACAGGCTTCCATTGGACGAGTGAGACGCCCCCGCAGAGCATGAAGACGGAGAACCACTGCAGGCGGTTGAGAGAGCGGTTCAGCATGAGGACCATGCACAGGGCCGTGCACGGGATCTTCAGCTGATAGGTCACCTACACAGGAACACACAAGTTAGTTCTAAAAATGATTAACTATGGATTTTTTAAACATATTTATTGAGGGAAGGGGGGACGAGTTCCTGTTCAGCAACACACTAATACGGCAGCTCTGTATGGGCTCAGAACAGTCTCATAATACACACATGCACACAGAAGGATTCACACTTGTATTTCATGATCCACACTTGTGTTTTTCAACGCACACACAAATGTGTTCCGTTTCATATACATGTAAATAAAACCCAAATACAGAAAAAAGTTTTACATATGTATTTTTGATCCTCACATATTTGTTTTCCGTTTAAAACCGCTGCACCTGCAAACACAAACCGCTTTCTGTGCATGGATCGCTGTGCATTCGTGTGTGGGTTTTTTGAGACTCCCCTGACGGTGACCTGATTCGTACTTGTAATTTTTTCTATCTATAGCCAATCAGATGTCTCCTCAATTATAAGCCAATCACATGAGCGCGCCCCCACGAGGGTAGATTTCTTGCGTTCATGACGTAGCGCTTCATGTACGCATTTTGCGTTGTCCGGAGCTGACAGGTCCATGGAGCCTGCCTGCAGGCGCTAATCTCAGGACACCTCCACTCTCAGTACATAGCCACTTTCCGAACAGGAAATGCACGCAAATACAAGCCTTTATATTATTAAGGTACAGTGCCACTTTCCGAACCATTAATGAATGCTTGTGTACACAAAAACGGTAGGCAAAACTGTTTTAAATGTGTGTTTCCTGTATGGCGAATACAGCTGCTTTATTGATGTCTGTATGAAGTTGTTGTGAGTGTGGAGGCACTAGGAGCAGCTACAGGTTAGCTTAGCCTAATCGATCAGTGCACTACGAAGCCAGTGCTAGACAGTGAACTGTCAACGGTCATTATCGGCCGATATTCACTCTTAATAGTTTGATCGGCGCTCTCTATAAAGGCCGATCAGGAGAGCTGGATCTGATCGATATGGACATAAACGCGAGTGAAGTTTTAGCGAGCTGCATGAGAAACTGACGGGCTGTCAGGAGAGAGGGAGGGAGAGAGGAAAAGAGAGTTACTCCCGTGTTATTAGCCATATCCGGTCATAGTCCGGTAATTACCTGCTAACGGAAACTGCTACACAATTTCTTATTATTATTATTACTATTATTATTATTATTGAAACATGACCGGTAAGTTTCAAATTTGTCCGGTAAAATAAATTCTGTCCGGGGAAACCCTGCTCCGGACAGCGCAAAATGCGTATATGAAGTGTCATGAACGCAATCAATCATACCCTCATGGGGACGCGCTATTGGCTTAGAATGAAGGAGACATCTGATTGGCTATAGATAGAAAAAGTACGAATCGGGTCACCGTCAGGGGAGTCTCAAAAAACCCACACACGAATGCACAGCGATCCATGCACAGAAAGCGGTTTGTGTTTGCAGGTTCAGGGGATTTAAACGGAAAACAAATATGTGAGGATCAAAAATACATATGTAAAACTTTTTTCTGTATTTGCATTTTATTTACATGAATATGAAACGGAACACATTTGTGTGTGCATTGAAAAACACAAGTGTGGATCCGGAAATACAAGTGTGAATCCTTCTGTGTGCATGTGTGTATTATGAGACTGTTCTGAGCCCATAGCTCTGCACATACTTTGATATTATAACCACTGTTTACACTTCTTTCTCTTCAAACCTCACACATTTAAGGGAAGTTTCTGTAATGTGCATTATGTGTTTGAATCCTACGAAAAACATAGGCCAAATCGGGTTGCAAGCTTAACCTTTCCAGCACCAACAAGTGTAGTTGAAAAATAATCAACATTGTTTGTAATCAAGCAAAAACAAAACATTAACTGGTGCTTTTCTCGGATTAAATTGCAATATCTCCCTCAGCTCCTCTGCAATGACGTGCAGCCGCTAGTTAATCGATTGCAGATGCTGTCGCTTCCTCCGAGGGATTAAAAATGAAAAAATGCTCTGATGGGTGTTGGGGAAATATTTTCCAAGGCCCATAACTTTGACCCAGTTTATCAGTTCATACTGTCCTGACTGAGCACAGACACCTGTAACCTTGGCTGCTGTGCTCTCAGTGTTTTGTCTCCCTGTTCCTGCCTGTTGGCGTCAGCTGATAGAGGTGTTAATGATTCAATCTTGTTATGCACAATGTTGATTCTTCTCTCTGAACTAGCTAAATACATGGGTCTGGGGTAGAGTTCTTCAGAATTGATTGTGGCATCTCAACCGTGTGGTCAAACCGTGGCCCGTGACTTGTTTTGTGAATTCTCCGGCCGAAGCTCCAAATAAACCGTCAGTGTTTGCCATCAAAGCTCCAGCTCTCCATCGTGTCTCTCTGAGTCCTGTTTCCAATTGCTACAGAAGTTTCCCCCACAATGGGTCGGCAAATATTTTATAGATGGCCTTTCATTTCAGTTGGATGGCCCGCCCAAGTGAATGCTATGTGTGGGAAACACTGATTTGTACATTCCTCATTAAAGAAAGGATTAAATTCATACCTGATAAACTGCAGCATCGAGGTTGCTCAAGGCAAGAAAGGCCATGTTGTTCTGAATCGCGTACACTACGGATGGCACGCTCAGCTTCAGTAGCTCTTTGGGGCTGCAGAATATATGTTCCATTAAAGCGCTCTTCAGTCTGGAAAAACTTCCCGTTTCTCTGGGAAAGGGGACATAAAAACAGACTGATGAAGAAGTATAAATGTAAAGTTTAAATGCATTTGATTATTCTTTGAAACAGATCTATTACACCTCAGAAGTCGTTGAATCACTGTTCTTGAATTCCTTTTATAATCCTCATGTATAAGCACAGAGTACTAACCAGTCATTCTTGTACAAACCAGTTAGGCAGCTCAGCATCAGAGGCCTGTACTACGAAGCCGGATTTTCCTAACCTGGATATGTTTGAGTTAGCCGGTTGGCCTAATCCAAAACATACGCGCTCTGGCTAAGCTGTACTACGACGCTGGTTATCAAGTGGATCGCTCAAGCCAGCCGTGTCCTATCTAGTTAGGTGCGCGTTCACATGAAAGGGGTGGTATTTGGAGCATTCGACCAATCTCAAACATGGACAAGTGTACTGACAGCGCAGCGTCATACTTCCTGAATGAAAAGTGAACTTTAATATTAGTCAAATATGAAGAAGTTCAACTTTAAACATCCATGACTTAAACACTTTATCCAGGATAAAAGCCACATAGCTGCACCTGCAAGGTGAATACAGCTGGTAAAAGAAAAAGTGTTTGAATGCGTACATTAACAGGTTTATGAAATCACTGCTCCGTCCAAGACACGAGTGGATCTGACTTTAATTACATTTGACTCGAGTGTTATTCAACTTAATGTGTTGCTTAAAATAATACTTCTGCATACAGTATGTGACACTGTGAGTGTTGCACGGCCAGATACAGCTCAAGAAGCTGACTCAGATAAGGAAATATATGATACATTATGATGTGATATGATATGAATGATAAATGGGACACATCGACGTCTGCACTCACAGTGCCGCGGACTGTACTTAATGTTACTCTGATCCGGTTACTTATGTTGTGGCAGATATTCAAGTAAGCTTTCTTAACGCTAATGTTATAATAGTCAGATTGCTCTGAAGATGGGAGGGGATATTCTATTAATTTTCACGTTCACACAGTCAGTTGATTTTTGCCGACCGTCTTTCCTGCAACGGCAGTTTTTCTGTATTTCCTTTATCCTGTAATATGACTTGATAGCTTTAAACTCCGCACACGGAGCTCTGATTGGTCAGCAGGCGGTGCTTTCACTGAGTTGATCTCTTAGCCTGCAACCTAACCTCCTCCCGAGGAGGTTGGCCGCTCAGCATAAGTTACCATGGAGATCTAGCCCACTAAAAAGAGAACCAGCGTCGTAGGACCGGAAAGCCCGAGTTTTCCCTGAAGTCAGCCGGCTAAGCAAAAATCCGGCTTCGTAGTACAGGCCTCTGAACTAAATATGTCTCAAAATGGTTCATCACAAATACATGACGTCAGTTACATGCCACTATGATATATTAGATAACTCTAGCATGTTAGTTTACATGATATTAACTAATACATGGAAAATAACATCAGCTGTGAACTTTTGACATAATGTCCTATGATATTTAACATTTATCGTAGGTGTGCTTGTCTGTAGCTGACCCACTAACTTATGTCAGTTTTTTTAAATACTTATAATACTAACAATTTAGGGGAATACATCATGTTGACCTGACATATTTTTGATATCTTTGTATATATATATATATATATTACTTAGAAGATAATTGTAAAAATATTTTTTCCAAGTATAACCACTCCTGTTGTAAAATGTGTAGTATGTGACACTTACTTTGTCAGCATCCCCAGACTCAGTACCAGTTTAATGACCTCAGCGAGGCACACTGCGGTTGTAGCGTAGTACATATCGCCCGTTGAGATGGTCCTGGTGTACCGCAGGGCCACTGTGTACGTGGCCGCCACCATGGTCATCACCGTCAGGCAGTACATCTTGAAGATCGCGCTCACATTTTCTGAGGATAACAATCAGAGGTGAAAATAACATTTATTAATGAAATCTGGGCCTTGTTATGACCTTATATCTCAAATGAATGACAAACTTTCTGAGTATAATGATATCATATCTCAAAAATAATGAATTAGTTTGTCAAACTAACAAGAACATATTATGTTAATTAAAAGTCGTGGTTTTGTAAATGTTACTCAAGTAAAGTACAACAGTATCGGCATCAACATATACTTAAAGTACTAAAAGTAAAAGTACTCAATTATGCAGATTGGCCCATTTAAGAATAATATATTATATTTTAATACAAAATTCAAGATTCAAAGGTTTCCAATCCAACATATATAATAAAATACAAAATAAAAAGTAGTACAAAAAGTCTATATACATGTAAGTAGAATATGATATGTACAAGAACAGAATATGAAATAAAATAATGTAAATTAAGACAAAATTAAATACAGTTTATTGCGTGGATAACTATTTATATAAATAAGTATATTGCAAGATGACAAACAGGAATGTCATATGTTTTCATGATCATTATTGCTGCATTAATGAGTTTACCAAAGGTGCAGCTTGTTTGAATTACTTTGTATGCTTCAAGATAGCTTGTGAATTTACTTAAGGTGTGACTACAGTCTTATGAGTGTTGATTATATATTTCATATCATTAATCCAAATCTGTGAAGTAACTACAGATATTAAGTACATGTAGTGGAGTAAAGGTACATGATTTACCTATGAATTGTGGGGTAGAAGAACAAATCAGGAAACAATTTAAATACTCAAGTACGTACTAGTGTCTCAAAAATAGTACAGTACTTGAGTAAATCTACTTAGTTACTTTACTTTACACTGCATGTAGCTAACAGTCATTTTCATACAGTTATTTATCACTCAACACAAGTGTTAGCAAAAACCGAATCACACTATAAGTGACAAGTATTCCCCGGCTAGCAGAGTTTCACTTCTTTGTTTATGTGTATACTCAATTTAGAGGACAAACGTTCCTGTTAACAGCTAGCATTAGCCTATCATGCTAGCTTGTATTATGAACCGTTTCAACTCACCGACAGCCATCGCTGCTCTGTTTGGTGTCAGTCCGGGAGGTTAGCAACTCGAGTTCCCGACTGACTTCACATGCCATCAAAAGTTATAAAGGTATCCTGAATGGATTGAGGAATGCTGCCCGACGAGCTACACATCATTAGATAATGAGTAGTTCAGTTTTTCCTGTTTTACGACATATTGCCTTCATTTCCCAGAATGCTTAGCGAAGGACGGGAGGGTGCGTTTGTTTTTGTATCGCGGAATTACTTTTTTTTTATTTCAAACATTTTATAAATTAACTATAAAGAAATACATATAAATAAATTAGTGATGAATACAAAAGGTAACATTTCAACTAAAGTATTGATTCATTGACTCTTTTTTTTTTAAAGTGGTGCCATATTGTTGCAATGTCATATCTGGTTAAGAGTAGTCCATTTCTTCTTGTGAATGTTCAATTTTCCAAAAGATAAAATAGTTTTATAAGAAAACATATATATTTGTATCAAATCCATCATCTTCAAAGTTTATAAAAATGTCCTCATCCTAAAGTTTGTCCCTGTGTCGCAGAATGTTCATTACTTTATATAATAGTGCTGGATATTTTAACCTATCATTTTATATCATAGTTGATTTATTGGTTTATTCATATTTTGTATTAGCTAATAATCTGTATCAGTAAAGTAACTAGTAATTATTATTGTCAAAAAAGGTAGTTATTGACATTGAAGCAGTTGGACTATAATTAAAAATATGTCCAGGTTATTTGACCCAAATTACTCCAGATCTAACAGCACATTATAAGATCTTAAATTACTCAAACATGCATTTAAATCACTACTCATACATAAAATAAATCCCCCAAATAACATTTTACAGTAGTAATACACACACGTAAGAAAACACAGATTCAATGAATACCTGTTTGGGTGTTTTATTTATTTTTGACAAAAAAACAAAACATGTTCTTTAGTTTCATTCAAGTAACTTGACAATTTCCACAAATCTATATTTTGAATAACAGCACAAAAAAATCTGTAAATCAGGTTTGCAGAAAGAGTAATAAAATGTGAATAAGTTCAACTTCATTTATCTTTTACTGGATTTATCTGAACTCTTTATAGGTCAAACCTGGATAACAACAATATCATATAATCAAGAAGATGATTGATGTTCTTAGGGGATAATCTGATACAGCTAATATTAAAGAAAACAAACTTAATACTTTAAATAACTAATGTCTGGCATTATTTATAACTAGTCAGGAAAGGAACTAAGACTAAATCTTATGTTGAGAATTGACCAATTCCTTTAATGGCTATTCAAACCTCCACATAACAATCTGTCCATCTGTCTGGACTTCTTGCAGGGCAGCAGGAGCGAATCCTCTCTCTCTGAAAGCACCACAACACCTTTTTTGAACATCACAGCCAGCTGGTAACACATTGAAACTGCAGGTGATTTTAAATGAGAATCAATGGTATTACCCATCAGAGAAGAAATTCTTAGATGTTATAAATGACGGGAAAACATCCACCACTTTTTGTTTGTACTCTCACAAAGACCACAGCTTGTGATATTATTTTTGGTGTAGCACTACCACAAATGGCACACGGTCCATGCACTGCTGCTGGAGGCAAAGCTTTAAATGGAGCATTGTAACTGCGACAAAGGTGAACTCAACAGTTATCAGAGGGAACATGCTCGAAGCCCTCGCTCTCCCTCACCAGCGCCCTCTCCAGGATGATACGGCCCTCCTTGTAGCGCTGGCTTTCCTCAGTGGCGTATTCGTACATCCAGCCCAGCTTGCTGTTGCAGTTCTTGCAGCTGACGTCCCGCACCATGTGTCTTCCTGTCAGCATGACTCTGTCCTGTACCTCGCTGTGCTGCAGATTCACAACCTGGAGGATAGCAGACAAACATATGTTAAAGTTCCCCTATTATACTGTTTTTCATCAGTATATTATAGGTCTCAGATACAAAACATGTCTCTGAAGTGTTTGGCTCGAAATACCAAACAGATAATTGCAGCATCCCATAATCCCCTCTGTTTCAGCCCTGTTTCAAAAGTGCTGATTCTCTGTCTGTTACTTTAGATGAAAATAAGGAGCCACTCCCCACGCCCCTCTGAGAGATATTTGGTTAAAAAGAACACAATGGTGCTCTAGGAGGAGATTCAGGTGATAAGGGGGGGGGGGGGGGGGTTACCTTGGTTGGTGATCGGCTAATGGTTACACAAGCCAAACAATCGTTATGACATCATAAAGTGGCCAAAATCTGATCAGCTCATTTTCAGACAGGTTTTTATAAAAATGGATCAGGACAAAAAGTGAGAAAGTCTTTTTTCCTGAAACTTTCAGAATCTCTTTACACAGAGGGGACACATGTTGATGTATAAAAGACATGAACAAGTGGATTTTGCATAATAGGTGACCTTTAATGTAACAGTTTATTAGGATATAAGGATTATTTTTTATTTTTTATAAAGCAAATTACAGTAAGACAAGGTATTTAATTAAACATTGAAATGTCGGATAGGTGTGGAGCAGATGTAGTGGCAAAAATACTGAATCTGACGTTGCAATTATTTTGATTTCTTGATTTATTGTTTTAAAGAAGAGCATTAGGTCAGGCATGATGTAAGAAAATAAAGAGTAAGATTTTCATTTTTTGCCTTTTAAAAGTAAAGTTGAAAAACTGGTAATAAAGTCAACATGTATAGTGAACTTCTCTCCTTTACTACAGTGGAAATGACCACCTTAATTACCCTGACACTAATGATAGAGGTACCTTGTTGAACAGGAAAGCTCGTCCAGTGGCTCCAGTGAAGCGCGTGGAGATGAGTTCAGTTCGGTTGGTCAGAATCGTGTCACAGTTTGCGCAAGAGAAGAGGCGAGTCCCACCGATGTGATCCAAGAAGATTCGCCCCATGTTGCCTACCACCAGAAGATACAAACAAAAACATACAAAGAAAGTAGCCTGTTAACATGATTTAACACACATCTCTGTAGCAATTAGAGGCACTGTGTGACCCTATCAAGTTAATATACAAGATAAATGTTATATTGTCATAGGTGAGCAATATGTTGATCTACTGTGAGATGTATAATGTGCTTACAAGGTGGCAGCTCCCCCTTTAATATCTCTTGTATAAGGAAATGTTTTGGGCCATATTACTTAAATACCTGTTTTGCATCAATGTGATAAAGTAACTTGATTTGGTAGGTATTTATTTTTGCTGGATTTGCCAAATAAATTCAAGTCTGATAGATTTTTCTAATTAAAAAGTGGCCCATTGCAGGACAATATAAATATCATATGTTTGGATTATAATTATTGATGCATTAGTGTTATCAGAGCTGGTAAAGGTGCAGCTAATTTTATTTACTTGTGGATTTACTCCAGGTGTAACTTAAGTCTCATTTAGTGTAAAAAGTAACTAAGGGTATACAATAAATGTAGTGCCGTAAAAGCACACTGTTAACCTCTGAATTGTAGTGGGGTAAAAGTAGAAATTATTAAGACATTTAAATGCTCAAGTAAAGTACAAGCCCCTCAAAAATCTACTTAAGTACAGTACTTAGAGTAAATGTAGTGACTTTACACCACTACTTTATATACAGTTTGTTTATTTACAACATTCATTTTGTGGTGACGCTCTGTAAAGAAAATAGTATTATGTACGACTTTCACGCTTCACTTGAAGGCATCATTTGGAAAAACAAGGCTAAGCAAAAGTCAAGAAAAATACATGTCACTGTGGAATAGCTTCCTATCATTACTGGCAGAATGTCAGTTTTATGAATGAAGAAATCACCGGTCTGTCAGAGAACAAATGTCAAAGGCATCCAGAAACAGCTAACGGAAAAACAACGGTAAACTGAACGCCTTATTTCTCACCTCGTAACGTTAGCTAGCGGTAAAGCAGTTGCCAAGAAATGGAGATGTTTTGTCGTCAAGTCTTGTCAAGTTTGCCTTTATTTTCAGGTGATTAATCAAGAAACATGCCGTTGTTCCCTCTGTTATTGATGTCAAATACAGCTACAATCAATGGCGTTAGCTCCAATCATGCTACAGACAATAACAACGACATCTTCCGCTCAGAACTTTCAAAGTAAATCACCGCTAACACATTTATTGAGCTGTGGCTATTTTAAGACGGTTAAAACTTAAAGATTATGATTGCAATAATATTCTGTACATTAAGTCGAGTCTGTAGAGGAAACTAGATTCCAAAACGCCGTAATTAGTGTTTGTTTCGTTTCCATTAAAAAGACCGTGCTTTTATTTTGAAAGCAGAGTCTCATCAATGTAGCTCCTAATCTTATCCGCAAGAGGGCAGCAAACCATATGCGTACACACCAACCATATGATTTGGCAGTACAATTAAAGTGTAACTTTTTAATAAAAAATGTAAAAGGATGTACTCCTGTAGGGCCCATTTTTGAATAAAAACATAGAGAATACGATTAAAATGTTGCCATGTAATGTAGGTCAAAATTGCAAAATGCAAAAAAGCTTGTCAATATTCTTTTGATTTTTTTTAATATAATGAGATACAGAGTCAATATTTTGAGCACTTCTATATTTTCTTATCATAATGACTAATAGGATACTTATTTTTCCTTCAAACTTACCTTGTTGAATGTTTACCTCTCATCATACAATTTAATGTTGTTTAAAATATAAAAATACTTATACTATTCTTTACTAAAGAGTAATTCCAGCCTTAACCTATAGGACCCTGTTTATCAGATGTTGAATATTCTTTTGTGTTTAATTAATCTAATGTTGCATATAGATACATATCATTTTACAGTCATGGTGACCTCTTCTGATCTACAGCCTGTTAAGAAAAAGAGAAAAAAAGTAGGAGACATTGCGCAAAGTTATCAAATATTATCGACCAATGTATCTTTGATCGAGGCTATCACAGGCCACACATTAGATCAATATCAAGTACTTATCATCATGTACTATAACAATTCAGCAATAAAGTAACTAATTAACCTTACAGTTAAGATCGGGAAAATCAAGATGATAGGATTTAGCTTATGATATATGGCATACACCCAAATAGGTGTAATATCAAGGACAACAGGCTTGACTGGAAATCCTTTCAAACCAAACGTAATGCATGTCATTATTTTAACAGACATTACACAGTTGTTGTTTTTTCATGGTCATTGGGTATTATACGCGTTTGTATACTA